GTTTATTCATTTTTGTATGTTAAAAAATAAGAGAGATGAAATGTTGTGAAATTTCGAACCGAAGCGGTGCATATTTTCATGGTTGATTTTTAACCTGGTGAGTAAACCAAGAGAATATAGATGTAAACCTATAACGTGCTTACAGTTCTTGGATGGATGAAAATATGACGAAGACCAAGATAATGCCTCCGGGAAAACGGCTTTGTTTTATGATTAGAAATTAAAGTATGATCTTATACGGAAATCTTTCTTTTTACCCAAAATCTGCAACTGCATTACTTGATGAAGATATGTCATCAACAAAGGACAAAACACAGCCGTGCTGTGACTGATTCTTGCTGGACATTGTATCACATCTTTAGCGAGAAGATTGCTCTCCCCAAGGTAAAGTGTAAACAAGGCACCAACGAGTATTGATATGGATACCATTTTTGATTCCATGCATGTTCCTAAAGGTTGTTGAAATAATTGTAGAATCGAATTTGAATGATGAGAAGTAACGCTTTCAAAAAAATTCCAAAAAGGATTCCAAGAATAGGCGCATTGCTTTTACAACTTGTTGTTTCCGGCATGTGTTAATACCTCTGAAATTATGAGAGTGAAACGAACTGCAATAAAAAAAATTAGTGCTGCTGATTCAACGGCATCTTCCAAGATGATGGTTACCGGCTCAGCTTTTTATTCAGAGATTTCAATTCTTCATGTGAGTATCATTACACCTGAAAGTCTTTTTTGAACTTACCTTAGCTGCATGGATCTGTGTTTGAGTAAGGAAGATGAAACATTCAGGTGAGAGGCGAACGAGACGTTGCTGCAATATTAAAATTGTCTTGACAGAAAAATAGGCAAGATTTCTATACAACCCCATTCTTAATTATGCATACAGTTCTTGGATAAAGGAAACAACAGAGAACACAAAAGAGTTTGGAACGACAGCTTTGTATTAATAATCAGCTATTTGTTTCACTCCCTTGCTGTTATGGTGCTGCTCGCGCTCGCTGCATCTTCTTTTATAATATATTGTAGTTCCAAACCAGCCTTGAAAAAAAATATATTCCATTGACATGTTAAAATCGTCTACACAACTAAACGTTCTAATTCTAAGGCATTCGGGAGCAAAATGCTTGCTTTAATTCCGGATTAAAAATCTCCGAAGACCGAGCAGTCGAACAGCAATGTTTTCTTTGTGGATTCGTCTATTGTTACATCGGCAAAACGAACCCAGTACCAAAACATTCCAGACAAGAATATTAAAAAAATCTGCTTTAGTGTAAACCTAGTCTTAAAGAGCAACATACTCTAAACATATTTTTGGGTAATATTTGTGGTGGTCTTTCAGAATCAATTTTTTTCTTGAATTCACTCCCTCTTCATTCATTTATTTATACTCTTCCCCACATCTCAGAAACCACCGGAGGCAGATTTTAACAATCTCATTTCCGCATTTTGTAGACCATCTGGTTTTCACATGAGAATAATTAAAAAACATTATTTTGATACAAATGTCTTTCAAGTTTTTAAACCTTTTTTTCATTCCCTTCTTGCATGGAGTTTTCTTATCATTTTCAGTAGCTGTAATCACCCAAACCATTTGCAACTGCTAACGTTATCTGTCTAGAGTTATCTGTTGGGAACACCGCACGGCCCCTTCTTCATACAGTTCTTGGATAAATATAAAATATAAATATATAACGAAAACAACCTTAAGGACTACGACTTTGTTTTAGAATAATATGGGATGTGAGGAAATCTTACCAAGCTCTCTAAATCTAAGCTCCGTTGAAACCATTTCGTAACTTCAGACTCGAACATTTCAAAATGTTACTGACAAGCGCACCTTGAAAAGAAAAATTGATCTTTCAGTCAAACGGGCATCAAGAAGTTTGAAGTGAGGGAACTAAGCGTACGAGAGTGAAAGGTTTCTCTTTGACGCTGGTCAGATTCTCTTCCCAATCAATGTATCCGCAAACAAAGAACACAATGTTATGACAAAATCAGGTCAGCTATTGACTCGCTAAGGCTCTAATCTTAAGACCAGATGTCGATTGATAGTCTTTTGGCTATTGAATATTTGTTATTACCGCCATTAATAGTAATGTTTTGAAGCATCTAGATACCTTTGGGAAAGCTTCAAATGAAATCCTTGTGTCTAATCGGTTCGGAGTTCTCCTGTAATTTTGTACAATGAAATAAAATAAATGAGAGTTTGGTTGGCTGTTGAATTGAAGCTGGTACAGATACTGAAATTTTCTTATTTTGCAAAATAATATACGGCCCAAGCTCACTTAGGAAGCTTATTTTGACTAGCCTTAGCTGATTATGGACGCGGGGCAGATAATGGAAAATCGATCCTTCCAGAAGAAATCCAAAACGTACTTTTCGATTCCTAGCTCTCCTAGAAGTTTAAAACCGACACACCATTTCGAAATTCACCGTGGCGAATCAAAAGCAGGGTTATTTATCTGTTAGCCGACGTAGTACTTCACCTCTTTCTAAAAGCGCTTTTAAAGAAACATGTTTGTAATCCAGATATCCCGCGTCTAGTATATATTTAGAGGAAAATAAAAGTGAACACTAATCTTAACTCCTTAATCTCATCTGATGTTTTTTCGATACCAGCATGTTTTAAAAAGCTCCAAGTTAATAAAATGTTGCACCGCCAAGAAATCTGCCGTAATCTACGAGTGGTTTCGTCAATGCAAGCTGCTTATAACAGCTCTTAAGGATATAAACTGTTCGAACTTGGGTAGATAATGTTGGTAAGGTTTCTTTAATCATTTGATAAATTGATCTAAATCTTTTACTTATTCTCAGTTTTTCGGCTATTCGTTCCTTTGTTCGCTTTACTTTGCATGTTGCTTTTTTATTACTTCGTTATTCAAGCTATTGCCGGATTTCTATTTAAGAGATGATCTGACAGAACTTGATTTTAAAGCTTCTCGCACATCTTAGATTCAGGAAAAATTTTCAGATTTATTAGCGGAAGAAAAAGAAGAATTGATTCAAAGTAAAAGAAATTAGAAATGGCATTCATACAAATATTCATATAATGTTCAACAGTAAGAACATTTGTGTGTCTCTGTTATGTTGGTTGATAAAATCAAACCACCCCACGTGAATCAACCGCTGGAACCAAAAAATAGGATTTTTCTTAGGTCATAATACTTCCTACTTTTCCCTCACTTTTTTCTTTCCGGCAGAAACTGGGTCTTATGGTTCGCGACCACCATTTTCTCGCTTTGGTTCTCGTTCTGCATATTCCTTTACGGGCCAGATCTGGACCAATCAAGGATCGAGATATTATTAGCTGGATAAGAAACGAACGTGGCAATCCGCCGGAAGAACTAGAAAAAGTTAATCACACCCAGTAGTGAATATTTATTTGCGCGCGGCTTACAAACAAATTACTTAGCGCAGCAAGGAAAAATCAATGACACCTGGATCCCTTGCTACACCCATTCGAAAATGGCACTGATGTTTTCATTTTCTTCAATGATGTGCAAAATATTCAAAAATTCCTTTCATACGCCAGATATCTTCCCTTACGCGCGATTGGGCTAAGCGCTTCACGTAACCAAATATGGCCTAGCTTAAACTTGGGAGTTTTCGGTCCTTCTCCCAGGGCGACATTCTCCGATTTGAAACCTTACGTTCTATGGGCGTTGAAAGTCTTCGTATAAAGCTTAATTCAAGATGACAGAGCGTTTTATTATTCCTGCAAGAAAAAAAGGGACAAGTTACAACTTACCACTTACACGGAAACTAAAAACAAAAAAAAATTCAAGGGCAATGAACGAAATTCCGTCTAATCGCTCTAAAATATGTTGCCGGTTGCGGCCACATTTCGAGCGAAAGATGTTTCCTGTATTCTTATTATCATAAATGAATGAAATTTGCCCTATTGATTGCGCATTCTTTTTGCTCTCCGTGATCAGAATTCTGTTTTCTTTTTTCCAGGTTTTTTTCTACGTTCAGGATCCGCGATTCGTTTCGGTTTCTTTGTTGATTTTTACCATCATCACGTTTTCGTCCCCATTATTTTCCGTCCATCGACTTTAGGTCAATTATAATCTCCACGGTTAGTCGGGACCTTCAGCAAACCATGACGACGACAGCTTAACGTATGTAGAAAAACAAAAGATCTTATCAGCAGAATAAAAGCTTAGGGGGTGCGTTTTAAGCTTTCAATATCCTTGGCCGTCATTTGCAAAATAACAACGCCAAATCAACAAAAGTTGAGTGGTCTGAGAGTGGAAATCGTTATGTTAACAAGTCAATGCTGCTCACATACGTTATGCTGAATTTGAGATGTAGCGCTGTAAGTGATGGTAAAAACATCGAGCCTTTGTCGAAATTTTAACCCAAAATTTAAATATGTCATGCCAATTTCTTATCTTTTGTTTTCCTTTCCAACCAGTAATTAAGTAGGAGTTCTTTTGCAACCACTATCGTAACAGTGTACTCTAAAATCAAATTAGCGTGTTGAAATGTGTAACAGATAGTTTTTTTACTGCAATACTCGCTGGCATAATTGTCACTGAAGATCTGTGTCAGGTTCTCATCGACCTTCGCTCTAAAACAGTTTACTTAGTAAGTAAATGGTTTCAGCCCGGTCACCACTACCGACAACAGTCCTTTTCAGGACTACACTCACCCGGACGATCAAAGAGCAAGGCATTAGGGAAGCTATTAGCTTCGAGGAACAGATAATATCCAATGATAAATGTACGAGTATTTTGTGTTTTTCGCGACGTACGAAGCCTACTTTTTTTAAACACATGAAGTTATTCAAGAATTAAAGCATTGATATCATGATCTTGGAGTAATATCCGGCTTGGAATCAGTAGCTGGGAGCAGAACAATATGAACAAGCGAAAGGGGTTTTCTTCTATTTTTATGAGTTAGCTACTCTTTCCTGATAGGTTTCTGGGCTATGGTAAAAAAAATAATAATCTTCATTCCCCCTTGAGTCGTATCTCAAGACCTGAATGCTCGTGATGTTCCTCTTCGATGTATGTAATTACCTTCAAACACCGCAAATGATATTTTTCCAGGGAGATGTAGCAAAGCTTCCAATTACAATCCAATATCTTGTTAAACACCAAAATTACAGCAGTACGAAGAAACGCTTTTGACAGAAACATTGACCCTGGCCACTGCAGACAAGTTAAAAGTTCTTAAAGTTAGTGTCAACAAAAATCGCCAGGTCCTACGTGCTACTTTAACAAGATACACTTGTTCATTTTCTATGTGTTTTAATTTGTCTCCAAACATATCTATTCTAATGGAGACGCGGGCAGTTTTTAAACAGTGTAGCTTAAGGAAAATTTCGTCATTATCAGCAGTTCAGCAAAAATGTCAACGTGTATTTCTTAATCTAAGTGAAATTTTCTTCCTAGTGCTTCTCTTTTTTTCAGCGAACAAAGAATCGAGTTCTGTTAAAGTCAAATTGAAGTCTTTACATTTCCTTCAAGGATTCTGATCTCAAGTATATGTTCCAAAGAACCTACCACTTTTGCAACTCGAGAATCTAAGAATATGATCTTAAAATTCAGTTGTACATACATGGTAAAAATATTAAAACAATGACTGGAACGAAAAGATCCAGCGATCAAAAAGGATTAACCTTTAGCCTTGTAACAGCAAGATAAAACCCGACGAGGAAAGCGAAAATTGAAGAACTACTCATTCTTTTCAAATCATCATGGCTCTAGCGTAATAAAAAGTAAGATGTACACCGGAACTGGTAGAGGTGATTCTCATCCATCCGTTACTTGCTGCTTTGGTTCGGTCACAGCTGTACATGCATTTTACTTCACGGGTTAGATCTGAAACAATCAAGATTTACATATATGTTGTTAGTGAGATCCACACTCAGAAACTTGGGAAAGAAATGACTAATGTGATGCCCGCTGGATCGCCCAGAACGTACATTCATTTTTTATAACGCAGAAGTTGAATTATTAATTGTGAAACAGCAAAAGCACATAACCGCTGGAACCTGAAACTTGGCCAGGTCCGTCACAATCATTAAGTTATATGTTTACGCCAAGCGCAGGGAACCTTTGGCCAAGAATCGCCGAGGGCATAATCATTCAAGTCTCCTTAACTAGCATCAGGGTGGTGTAGGAACGCCTAAAAATTAATATACCCTCCTTCCACACCAAGAGATGGTTTTTTCGCTCCTCTGCTCGCTAGCTCTTTAATTTACATGAGTCTGGAGAAAAAAATATCCTGATATCAAATGCGGACAAATTTATTTGATTTCAGTGCAATTGTTTGTTCCTCTATTTCGAATGAGATAGATAAAGATAATCATTTTGGTTTCAATCACTTGGTTTAATTTGATGATCTTTGGAGGGGTGAATGAAGGAGGAACTTCCAAATTGATGTCGAAGACGAAAGTGATAAACATGATGAAGAGGTGATTCAAGACGTTTCCTTCTCCAAGATCGATAACGATGCCGAAGTTAGTGGTACTGTTATTTGTAATAAATTAAGTGATCCTATGTTCAATTATCATTGTTTTAGCATGACAGATACAATATTAAAATGTGTCACCTCCACAGGAAAAGGCTGAACTGAAGCGATCAATTTTAGCTCTTGGCTCTTTTAGCTCGGATTTTCTTTATACTTTAAGCCCGTTTTAAGTGGGAAAAACATCCTTCCTCAATGCCTCCAACTATGCCACCCGCTGAGTTTTTAAGGAAAATTAACTCGCTTTTCCTCTCTAATAACTCCTGCGTAGAAGCTCTGTGCCCTCCCGAGGGCTTATTAGAACTTTTAACGTAAATAAGATAAGCACTGCATGCACCCAATATTCATACATAACGAACTGTTCTAATTTTCTCATGAAAATTTATGTAACAACACACTTTGCACCAATGGTTATTACAAATGATACCTTTCTTGAACTTTTTGCTTAACAAAACTTTCTAGAGGAAGGACAACGTGAGTTGTTTGTGACTTCCGCGAGCTGTTTCGGTCTTTTGCGTTGAACCCTCTGTGATTTTGGTTTTGTATTATAATTCTCAATTCACGAGAAAATCCTGGAATAAATATAAAGCAGACCCATGGGTTAACTGCACAATAGCAACTTGCCAATAGGTTCGCAATGTAAGACACTACCATATAGCTCTTGTTACAGGTCAGAATCAGCGATGTTGAGAAAATGTTAATGAAGGCAATCACAATAAACATCGTCCAACATACTGAAAAGGCTGCAACGGTAGCGACGGCCATCTTGAGTAAATTCCGGGTGAATTCTTGTCTTCGTCTCGAAACTTTTCTAAATTGAAATTTCCCCTTGTTGTTATTGCGAACGCGCAAAGCGACAGCAATGTACAAAATAGATATCACGAGTAGTGGTAGAATCAAAACGGTCGTAAATAGAAAGATGTTGTAGTAAACTTGTCCCGTGTTGTCATCGAAAGCTGGTTCCCAGCTTGGGAAGCAGATTTGGATGTAGTCATCCTGACCAATAGCTACTCTCGTCAGTCTAAATGTGTAAAAATACGGCAAGTGAAGTGCTGCAGCCAGGATCCAAGTTAAAGCTATCACAAGACGACGTCTTTTGCGGGAGCTCGTTGTTCTAATGTGCAGAAGAGGATTAACCACTGCTAGGAAGCGCTCAACAGCGATCGTCACCAAGGTAAGGGTGGACACGGACAGGGATATATCACTCAGAAAACTACACATTTTGCACAAAAATGTGCCTCCGAGTCCGTGAACCAGGAAAGCACCGGACCCAGTAATTTCATCTATAATGAAGCGTGGAAGTAAAAATATCGCCACAAGTAGGTCGGATGTAGCCATGTTCATAATATAGAGCAGCCACGATTCTTTTTTCCTCGTGCAAGAGACGATCAGAAGGGAGTTTCCTATCAAGGATGCTAAAATAGTGAAAACATGTACTGCAATGGACACTTGACTCACTCCAGAAAAGCACTGTTTTGGAGAGGACGTCTTGTTACTTTGAGTTATTTCGAGGTGATTTAGGGAGGCATTTCCAAAGGCCGTCATGGTGTTTCGCAATAGTTCAGAATCAGTATAGTAGACCAAGTAATGAGTGGTAATAAAAAGAGTCTACTAAAAAAAATCGAAAACACTCGTGTGTTCAAATTATCGCCTGCGTCAGTGTAACACTCCACTCGTCTGAACTAGTTAACTTGGTGAACTCAGCCTTCTTTTGGCTTGTAGCAGGGGCATTATGCCTCCTGAATAATTATTAGTAAAGGTTATCACATAATTTCGAGTGCAATCAAGATCTGGGATGGATCAGCATAAGTAAATTTTTCAAAGGCTTACCAAAATGCACGAGCCCGTAGGGCGAGTGAAATTTGTGGTCTTTGAAAACATTTTTAAGTGCTGATTTATCTCAAATTGCTCGCATCAAAAATATTGTGATTACTAGTTAATAACATAATCTGTTTTGCTTTTTAGCTGTTTTTATTTCGTATCATGGCGTTTGTACTCTCTCTCTGTTAGGTATAGGTCGACGGCACGAACCATTAAACAAAAGCGATAATACACTTAGTCTTCCTCGTCTTCAGCACAAAGTGTTGCGTAAAACTCTTCAACAATTAAATGCTGGGTCCCCGGTTCGTACTTTCTTTGCCCATTTTGGAAGCCAGACCCTTGGCCAGTTTTTTTTTGTTTTTCGTTTTTTGTTTTTAGCATTCTGCATCAAACTTTGAATTAGAGCGTTGTTGCTCGCGCCTCACTTGTCCGCTATTTTTTTCTGTTTTGTGCTTTCGCAACCCACCTGTCAATCAATTTGATTTCAACTTTATGGTCTTGATTTCGACTTACTGCAATTTTTGGGATTAATTAACAAATTCTCAGCCGATGAGTATGTCGAAATTTTTGCGTGTGTATTATTAACTGAGAAATTTATTTACCCCGAAACTGAGAATAGCTTTATCAGCAGATATTCTCGAGGAATTCTCTTCTCAACCATGACCTTTCGGACCAAAACACTCCCAGCTTAGTTTGCCAACATTTTGTGTGAACTGCAGAGTTTCTTTGGGAAATTATTTCGCGCCTAATTGTTACTTAGGAGAGATGTCACCTTGGTACCTTGCAAATTCGTTTAACTTCATCTTTTTCACACCTCTTCTGCTCATACAGTTTATTTAATTTTCTCTTGAAAACTACACGGCTTTCTCTAACCATTGATCTAACCACATGGAATCATTTTGAATTTTAAAATTTGACTAACATTTAGGGGTCGAAGAGCGAAAGAATTGAAGTACAAGTTTTTTTTTCTTGTTTTTACTGATTTTTTTATTTGATTATATTTCCATCCTAATGGGTTTCTGTGATATGATAAAATCAGATCATCGTCTTCCCTCCCCAAGAACTTTTATCTCATGACCTAAATGCACACGGTGTTCCTGTTTGATGTATATCATTACCCTAATAATTTATTAAAGTATCTCCAAGCACAGCTTTGAATATAGTTTCCTCAATATCTGAATTACTTCCACAATTACAACGAACCCAGCATAGCCACTAGGACAGAATTCGGTGAAATTCAAACATCACTACAAAACTCAATGCTTGTAAATTATCACTTACTTACGTGACGTTGCTGTGGTTTTCATTACTGTGGGAGAGTAACAGACCTCAATAGTAAATTTACTAGATTTACATTGACTTGTCAAAAATTGAAAATTTCGAAACTGAGAGCCTAAGGAGAATCAAATTGGAAGCTAAAGTTTCGAGCAAAAACATGACTCGTTTGGTGAAACAAAGGATTAAAGCTCTGCGAAGGCAGCAGAATCGAATTCGAAACTTAGTGCGGGGTATTTCATCTTTATCAGTTTGGCTTTCATAACTGACTGATTATTTCACTAGCTCACCGATTCATAATCGAAGCCCTCTTTTTTTTAATTCAGTTAATTCTCCTAAATAGATATGTCATTGAGTCAGTCCTCTACTACAAGGGGAACCAAAGCTACATAGATCTGGGGGAGAATGTAAAACTTGAGTACAGCTTGATCTATAATCTCGGTCCTTCAAATCATGATAAGAAACCTTTTCCAGCCTGATATATCTCTGAGTTCTTAGCTCAAGCTGAGAAAGTTCAAATACGGATTGTAGCGCCTGGCAACCGGGGAAAATGATAGTCACTGGTATAATATGCCCTCTGAGCTTTAGCAGTTGACCGTTTATAAGCTTATTGATTTGACGCTGGTGAGATTTATTTGCCTCCATCCTTCACTGACTTAAGCTGAATGTTTGCATATTTTTAATTTCCAAAAAGGAGGTCTTGCAGAATGATTGGCTCTGATGAGCTGCTTGACCCCCTCACCAGAGCCTTATTTTCGGTTTCACTCATTTATCGCCTATTGTGTCGTTTGAGGATCACTCTCTAAAACACTTAGACTGTAACAAATGCATGAATCTTTCACCGTAATGTTCATCAGTGTCTGTCTATTTCGGTAAAACTCGCTAAGAAATAAGGTAACAAATAATCTGGGTACCATAAAAAGGACAAGCCTCATCTACGATATAATTTAGTTTTATCAACTGAGTCGATAATGTAAATTGGCCACCGCAAAGAGCAGACGTTTCAAGCGCTAGTCCTTCGTCAGAGCGAGCGGTCGTTTATGGTTGGCGAACGTTCATGTGTGGCGAATCGTCATATATTTACGATATACAGCCCTAAACATCAATGACATAAGTTAGAAGTGGCGCAACTTAAGACTAGTGATTTTTTTCTTCTATTAAATGTTAGATATAGGACTTTTAGCCACTGTTCGCAAAACCTTGAGGCAGTCAAATGGAAGAAAGTTTAGAAAGCTACCTTTTTACCATGGCAAAAAAAAGTTCTTAAATGTGCCGATGGAAAGGATCGTGGCACAAGTCAAAAAAGAGGGGAAAAGAAAGTTTTAAACTTAGCAAGGTACAAGGTTTCGAAAAACTGTGTGGCTTTCAAAAATCTCCATGGTTGCAAGGTGATAGAAAAGGAAACTTCTCGCTCCTTTTGATCCTTATGCTGTATTTTCCTTAACGAGTCACATCTAAACCAATCAAACATCGAGATGTTATCAGCAGAGTAGGAATAGACCTGGATTAAACACTTTTCAGCCGAACAATAAATGAAGCTGAGTAGACAGGAAAACAAAATAAGTGCATGAAAACATTTTCAGTAAGTCGAAATCCGACAACAAGTCTTATCTTATGAGATTGAGCTGCAAAACCCTTCAGGGATCTGAGTTGAGTTGAATTATGAAGTAGGCTTATCCTCGGGTATATGAAGTTCAGAAAAGAGAGATGTAGGGACTCAATATGCAAATTTCGTGGCGCTTGTACGGCACCAGGTGTCTGAGGAGAGCCAGCATCTTATCGTAGATGGCTGATCGATTGTTAAGTAGGTTGAATCAATTTGGGACGAGTTTTTGAGGCGATGACGGCTCAACTCTGATTCTTGGAATCAAAGGATCATCTGCTTCTTAGTACACTCATTGTGCAATCACTGCATATATAATCAAATATAGTACATTCTGCGCAATATGTCTACGAGTTGATCGTGGTATCATTTGGATCACTTTTCCCTTTCTTCGCATCGACGCACTAATCATCATTTTTTTTTTCGTGCCTCAACTATAACCGCAATGTTGGTTGGTGTTTTAATCGACTCTTGTAAGGAGGTTTGCGTGTAT